TCTAAGTGGTCTTAACTCCTGAGTTTTTAATTATACGGTAACACAACAGACCTATAGGTCTAATTGAATCCCTTGGGATCGCCGGTATAACCTAATCTATATAAATATTAGTTGAAATTTGTTAATTCGAATAATGTATTTTGAATTTTATTCCAATCTGTTTGCTAAACAAATTTTAAATCTTACTTAAACCTATACTGTTGATATATCGCTAATAAAAACTGAAACGATTGGTTTTAATTTGGCTATAAGTGCTTTAAAGTGTTAAGTCTTCCCTTAGCTCTTTGAATGAACAGCAAAAATTTTATTAAATCAACGATCAACGATATAGATCATATTCATTGATTTCGGAGAATAATAATTATATCTGCACCTATTTTGATCTGTCTTTAAGATAGCTTTACTTCCGAATAACTTTTATTCTTATAAACAAAAATTATATGCTGTAATAAATCGGAGATTGATTATAGTATAGTAAATTTCTAAAAAAAAATAAAATTTTGTAAATTCAAATATTTAAATAAAATAATACAGAAATTAACTGATTCCTAATGGATTATTATATATGTGCCTTCATTGTGTATAAACTATTTGTTAGGGATGAAGAGAAGGGTTTTCTTACTTCTAATATAATAAAGAAACATTATACAGATATATGTTTTGAAATAACTATATAAACAAACAAAAAAAATTTTATTAAAAATATATAATTTTTGTATATTGGAAATAATAATTTAAATATTAAATTTTTATAATTTTATTTTATGTTTATTGTTTTTTTTTATTATAATTTTTTGATATTTTTATTATTATTTTTTTTTTATTGATTTTTTTTGTTTTTATTATTTTTATTATATTATAAATTTATATACACTATTCTTATATATTATAATTTATTTTTATTTAAAATATTTTAATAAAATAAATAACAAATTTTCGCTAATGTGGAGTAAAAATTTTTTTTTACCTGTTATATATTATATACATTATAATATTAAAAATATTTTAATAATAAACTAAATGGTCATTCTTTAATGAAGATAAATTTTAGAACAAAAGTAGCCCAGCCTCTCTTTGAGTTAAAAAGTCGTTAATAATTCCTTTTGCCTATTCCCATAGATAGAGAATATCTTGAGTGAATCTGGCTATGATGCTTAATGTGAACGTTTACTGCTACAATATGTACTTATATGTAAGTATTTCATAATGTAAAAGGAAACAATGTGTAAAAGCGTTTCAGCAGACTTGATAGTTACTGAAAATTACGGCTAGACATAAATTTATAAAAAAATATATGTATTTTTATATATGTATAAATTTTTATCCAATTAGTTGATTTAAAAAATTTTATAAATTGTTACTCCCTAGGCTTGATGACATACTTGGATTGAAGTAACAGGATAATCATTATTTATGGAACATTTCAACGATTTTAGTAAAAGAGCTTAATATAATATGAAAGGTACCTCAATATTTTACTAAATCATTACTTAAGAGATTAAAAGTGTTTTAATATAAAAATTTATTCAATTACATAAATTAGCACAGTATATTACTTTAGTCTTGCTAAAATAATTACCTAATATTTTAGGTTTAATGACTTCAAAAAATAATAGAAAACAATATTTTTTTTTTATATTCATATAGTAAATATTCTCATAAATATTTATATGCTTTTCAAAAGAATTTATTTTGAAAAATAAATATATTGTTTAACTTTGTTCGAAATATGTTTAATAGTTTAAAATATATTTATACAATTTACCAAATAAACAGATTTAAGTTTAGTTTAAAAACCATTTTGTACTTTAAAATATATATATTTAAAAGGAATCACTATGAAATAATTTAATGTAGAATTAAAAAAAAATTTTATCTTCTATGCAAGAACCAAAGCTTCTTGATGGTTTTAACCCTTGTGTTTTAAATAATACAATAGCACAATGCACCTATAGGCCTATGCGGATTCTCCTAGGATCGCCGGTATAACCTAACCTAGCCTACTATGCAAGAATAAGATTATTATAACAGTTAACATTTATTTAAAATCAATTATTATATTTTAATATACTTAATAAAATCTATTTAAACACTTTTTAATCTTTAAAAGTAAAAAATGTATTGATTTAGTATAATATTGTAGAAAACCCTATTTAATCCCTTTTTTAATATGTGTGGCTGTGACACAAGATAGAAAAAATGTTTTGCTATGAATGTTCAATATGTATTTATTACAGTTCACGAATGTTTATAACAATTTCTAGTTGAGAGAGAAAAAATTAGTGTTTCAAATATTATTCCAGTTGTTCGAAGCTTCAAGCATTTTGATGTTCGAATATGTTAGAGTTCGAGCATTTGCATTTGCTTGTATAGAACATAATGAAATAAAGCAAAGCATTAAGCAAATTAGCTGTTCGAGCAGCTTAAATATATTCGAACATTTAAAATGATCGATTCAAATATTCGAATTCGAAAATACATTGAATGCTCGTTCATTGTACATTGTAATTCTCGAACTAAATTTGAAGCACTAAATCAAATTAGTTTGATAAAGCAGTTCTCTCAATATGTGGATATAGTTAAAGATAGCAGATCTTTATGATAGTATACCAAATCATTCTAATATCTATAACAATATATATTATATGTAAAAAAAAATTTAATTTCTCCCAAAATTATAACATTTATTTGGGTGTTTTATAGGTTAATGTTTGTTTTAATATCAATTTTATGAACAATAGTTTTAGGCAATTTTTTTTTTTTTTTGGTGCCAGTACTTTCTTTTATGTATCTTATTAAATGCTTCTACTCAAAAAGTTACAAGTACAGATTATTTAAAACTCATTTTATCAGGTCACATGCATATTACATTGGTAACTCAAAAATTTGTATTGATAGAATAGATTTATTAATATTAGTTCCCAGAAAAAGAGATTTAGAACCATTTTGAAACTACAACTCAACTCTTACGACATTATTGTTAAATAGTTTTGCTGTTTAAGACTTGTATGAAACTTAAATATAAAAAAAAAAAACTTTGTAAGCTTTCATTTTCATGTATTGTAAATATTTTATATAAATAATAGAACTTCTCTTTAACAAACTGCTATAAAACAAAGCTCTCACTATTACGAATTAATCTTATATATACAATTTTTCGCTTTACAATAATTTTCTAAAATCATAATTTCGAAGTGATTGTCTTTAAAGCCGTGCTGATTCGCTATGAAGAAGTTGGAGTTAATTATAAAATTATCCAAAACATACTTGAACTGGTGTGGTGAGCGCCACTTGGTCGTCAATATTTGTAGGTAGCTTTGGAAAATTTTCATATTCAATACCCACTAGTGGTTATAAATATTTTTAACAGAATAATATCCAAGTATCCAAATACAAACGTCCACACTCTGTTAAAAATATTTATAACCACTATATATATAGTTGTCAGATAATGAAAATAGAGCGTCGCTTTTTCCAAATATACTTTGTATATAAGAAATTTGTTTTTATCGTCTTATCTATAGCATAATATATCTTATAGATCGTAGTGTAACCTTGTCTCTCCTAATAATTATCGTCTAATTTATAAAATTGAACTATATTCCCTTCTTTATAGAGTTTTGTGCGGATTTATATTAAAATAAATTTATGAATATATTTATTTGATGAATTTATTTATCTTTTGTTGAGATTCAAGAATAGGATTTGATTTTAGGGGCTAATTTTACAGTCCTAACAAAATCTCAATTCTGACACAACTCATACTTATATACATACATCAATTGAACTGACATAATTTATATATGTCAGTTTTGAGATTTGAATTACGTCTGTGAAATCGCCCTTAAAAGTTTTTGTCGCAAAAACCTCATTGAATCCATTGCTTTAGACTTATATAGTATTGTAATGCGATGATTTCTTCTGAGTTAGTCTTTGAAAAATTTGCTGTATTTTGAGGATCACTATAGACAACAAGATACAACATTTTTTTTTTTTTACATTTCTTTTAGAATATTTTTAATAATCTATGCTGTGTACTTTTTGAGCTGAAGTTAATAACATTACTTAAGACATTGACCTATTCAATCTCCATGCAGCGCTCATTATTGACGTATGCTTCTAAGGAGAATTAGATAGTTTTCTATTTCTACAACCAAACTTGGATACTTAAAACAACAAAAATACATAAAACACGAAATAAACAAAAAATAAACTTAAGGGTGAAATGTCTTTGCAGAAATCGTATAAGCTCAGTTTGTTGCTAGTGATTGTTTTGGTCATTCTAAACACATAAAAGCCGGAGACCATTGGTAAGTTTTGAATGCGCCAAGAACTCGCCTTATAAAAAAAAATAACTAAGCAAAAAAAAAAGTATGTATTTTTAACAAATGCATAAACACTTTTTGAAAAAAAAAAAAAAAAAAAAAAAAAAAAATTTTTTTTTTTTCTTTATCCGTTAAAAAAAAAAAATAAAAATAAGACGTTTATATAAGAAAGCAAAACAATCATAAAAAATAAAAAATTCCACAAAGTTATTAAAATACAAAACTGAACGTGAACTAAATTTCAGATTATCGAACATATTTGCATCTGGGCAGCACTTATATTAAACAGGATTTACTATCTACTACCCAAAAATGAATATATCAGACCAAACCAACTCAGCTATTTCGATAAACGATATTTGCTTGAATATTTGTGAGTGCCATTTCGCCGCCGAGCGAAGGTTTCATATGAATATTCTAATTAAGTGTATTCGACATAACATATATATCATTATTACCAAATATAATTTTATATATAAACTACTAAAAACAATGGATGGATGGAAAGTTTTCCTGCTCGTCCATTGTTACACTTATATTTTTTACTTTATATTTACAGAGAGTTAACTAATATCTTATAATTTGCTTTCTCTTATTTAATTAAACTTTTTACGAACGTATTTGATGTCGTACCTTCTTGTACGTCAATTCTGTCATATATTGCGACTCTCATAGAACTCCTCTCATACAACTGATAAGGAAGGAAGAGACGAATATTACTACAATTCAACCCATAGCACACAGGAACGCACAGAATCTTATGAGCGTAATGGTGGCCGACGTGGTCGTACAAGGTAAGCTAATAGATATATACGTATAAGTTTTATTTATATTTAATTGACTTTTTATACTTTTTATGTAACTAATTTTGTGACTAGTATTATATTCCGATCTTTGTAAAAGTTTTAAAAGTGCTAAATTGCTATAACAATGATTATAATCTTTGTCATTTTATGGTTCCATTTATCTTTGGGACATACTTTATAAATATATAATTTATAAAAAATATATTATATAAAATATAAATTAATATTAATTTATATTAATTGCAGAAGACCTGCGAAAGATAAAGTAAATGAAGAGTCGGAAAGGCATTGGATGTAAAGTTCAAAATGTTATAGATTTAGATTGCCAATTTCTGTATTATTTTTGTTTTATTTTGTCAGTAAAAACGATCAAATCTGAAAATCTTACCGATCTAAAACTTTATATAATATTTTAAAGACTTAATTATAAATGTATAGTCTGAAATATTTATTTCAAAATTCGGTCACTATATTTAACAATAGTAAATAAATTATTTTTACCCGCACCAACCCTTAAATACATTTTATATGCAATTACAAAAACAACTATCTTGTATGAAAATTGCATTTTTAAAAATATTCGGCAGAAATTGCCAGTTATTCGAGATTTTTATATTCATAACGCAAAAGTAACAGTTATTAGTGCGTTTTAAAATGAAAAACAGAATTTTAAGAGTTACTTCTGCGCGATAAAATAAAACGCACATAAAATAATTATTTTTGAGGAATATAATATAGGTAAAGCTAATTTAATTATTATTTTTTGAGTTTTATTTAAAAATGTTCATATATAAAAAGCTTGCATAACACTGAGGATAAAAGTTAATAGAATGATAACTAATATACTTAAATATGAGTTTAGACAACTTTTTGTTGCTGCTTTTTTCATAAAAAAATTTGAATTAAATGTTATTTTCGGTCCCTGTTTGTAATATATTATTTTTAATAAACAAATAAAATTTTGTTATTTTCTAATAAATACATTTTTATATTTCAGTCATAGTCGTTCAGGTTCCCGACCAACAGAAGATCGTAAAGCGCATAAATCAAAAGACAGTGATCGTTATAAGGAAGGAGAAAGCAGTTACCGTTCAAAAGATTATCGCAAATCGTCTAGAGAACGCGAAACTCATCGTGATCGCGATAATGAACGTGAAAAGGAACGTAATTTTGATCGCGACTTCGAACGTGATCGAGAACGTGATCGGGACCGGGATCGTGAACGCGATCGTGAACGTGATCGTGATCGTAACCGTGAAAAAGATCACGAACGAGACTATGAAAAAGACTACGATCGTGGTGACCGTAGCGATCGTGCTGACCGCAGCGATCGTGGTGATCGTGGCGATCGCGGTGACCGTGGCGATCGTGGTTTTGATCGCGAAAAAGATCGTGAAAGAAATCGCAGCCGCTCAAAAGAACGTGAAAGGAATCGCAGCCGCTCAAAAGATCGACGCCAACGTAGTCGGTCCAAAGAACGCAATCGTAGTAGGTCACGCGATAGACGTTCAAGCAGACAACGCTCAGAACGTCGTCGTAGCCGATCTCGTGATAGGCGTGAAAGATCTAAAGATCGCCGTTTAAGTCCTGTAAAAGAACGTAGACGTAGTCGTTCAAATAAAAATTCACGTTCTCGCGAACGAAGGTAAGAAAAAATTAAATATAAATTTTTCAAAGTAAATTTTTATTTTTATTATAAATTTTGTTTTTGTTATCGGAATTTATTTTATTTGATTGAGTTCAGTTTAAAGTAGAGATCTCCAACCCATAATATTTCTCGCAAATTTTGTTGTATTGCTGTAGGACTTCGCATAGTTGTTTACACTTATAGGCATGACTGCACTTTGTATACCTATGATTATAAGAATTTCCGGGAGACGTCTTAATCAATGATATTTCACTTGCACCATAATGATCATTTAGTGCCTTTCGTAGAAGGTGCAACACTGATTTAAAACTGCAATCTATAGTATCCGATTAATAAATTAGTTGTAATTTCAAATGTTTTTTAATACGTGCCGAATTTGATTGTTAATTGTTTTGAGTGTTTTACTTAAATAGTGACATCATTTTTATTATCTATTGGTTTTGAACGTTCATTAAAATATTGTGAGCATTACTGGTTTAGTGAATATGTTACAGGATAGATAGGGGTCAAGTGGAAGGAGGATTGAATTCTCTTCAATTAGCTAAGAAAAACATATCGATTGTATATTACCCCTAATTGTGTAGAATGATGGACATATATGAGAACCAGTCGGATACATTGATAAACTCAAATATCTGACCATAACTAATGTTAAAAATATCGGCGAGCTGTACACTTTTATGCAGTAAACTTAATGTTTAAGATAGATTTTTAAATTTAGTAGTAGTGATACTTTTATGTTTACTCAGATATCGAATGTATCATTCCTTAGAGATTCTTGGAATATTAATTTTTAAATAATTTTTCAAATCGTTTTATGTTACACGAATAATTATATAAATTTCGAAGTATATGAATTAATATACTTTTACTTCACATAGTTATGTTATATTTTTCTAGACAATGTAATTGATTGTATCAAATCATATATTGTTTTGTTTATGAAAGTTTTTTAAATAAAATTATAGAATATCTTTTCTAATTTTACTTCAAAATTTATTTTCTTATACATGTTCTTGTATTTTTCTGTATTATAGTAACCAAGCCACTTTACAGCAACAGATAATCGCCACTACAAAGAAGTATGTTAAGTCGAGAAGTAACATTTTTTTCATTCATTTTTTTGTTTTTATTTTATTAATTATTTCAGCAATCGAAGGCGAAGCTACTCCCCTCGACCGTTTCGCCGTGGCCGTACACCACCAAATGGACTAGGTGATCGTTCGCCTCGCTCAGATCTCAGTCCAGAAGAACGGGATGCGCGTACAGTATTTTGTATGCAGTTATCGCAGCGTATAAGAGCACGTGACTTAGAGGAGTTCTTTTCAAGTGTTGGGAAAGTCCGTGATGTTCGTTTGATTACATGTAATAAGACCAAACGTTTTAAGGGCATTGCTTATATTGAGTTCAAGGATCCTGAATCTGTTGCACTTGCACTAGGTTTATCTGGTCAAAAATTATTAGGGGTTCCTATATCAGTACAACATACACAAGCTGAAAAAAATCGCATAGCCAATTCTGTACCTATATTTACGCCCAAAAATCACACGGGACCAATGCGATTATATGTGGGCTCATTGCATTTCAATATAACTGAAGATATGTTACGCGGTATCTTTGAACCTTTCGGTAAAATTGATTCTATACAATTAATTGTAGATAACGAAACAGGACGTTCGAAAGGTTATGGGTTTATAACGGTAACTATTATATCTTATAATTACAAGTTTCACTTAATAATATTGTAAATTTTTAGTATCACAATGCTGAAGATGCCAAAAAAGCATTAGAACAATTAAATGGTTTCGAATTAGCAGGTCGACCAATGAAGGTCGGTAATGTAACAGAGCGTTTAGATATGAACACAACATCATTGGATACAGATGAAATGGACCGCAGCGGTATAGATTTGGGAGCAACTGGTCGTTTACAGCTCATGTTTAAGCTGGCTGAAGGTGCAGGGTTAGCAGTGCCACAAGCAGCTGCAAATGCTTTACTAGCTACGGCACCTCAGCCTGTACCTCAGGTACAATCACAGTCACCGTCCATTGCGACACAATGCATAATGCTGTCAAACATGTTTGATGCACGAACAGAAACAAATCCCCATTTTGACATTGAAATACGCGATGACGTTCTTGATGAGTGTGCAAAACACGGTGGAGTTCTACACATTTACGTTGATAAAAGTTCAGCAACTGGTAATGTTTATGTTAAATGTCCTAGTATAACTACTGCTGTGTTAGCTGTTAATGCGCTGCATGGCCGTTGGTTTGCCGGACGAGTCATTACAGCCGCATATGTGCCACTTATAAACTATCATTCATTGTTCCCAGACGCCATTGCAGCTGTTAATCTATTAGCATCCACACGTAAAGCTGGTGATGAGTAATGCGTAAAAAGGTCAGCTGCACAATTTTTTATATTTGTAATAATTACAAAAGGAAATATTTGATTTACATTATTTTTGTTTGGGCAGTCCTAAAATGCATTCCCGCCCTCTTTTCAGGCTTAAACGTCTACATAGAAATATGAAGTTTAGATATTGCTTTTAAATAATTTTAAATATTTTATATATATAAGACATATATAATATAATTACTTGAAAGAAAAAAATAATAAAAGAAATGTTGAAAGTAATTGTATTGAACGTAAATGCTTCAATTTAAATATTGTTTCTTTTTTTCTTTAATATTTAATTTAAGTTACACATTGTATTCTATAAACACAACATATACATACACTAAAAATGAGAATATGTATTCCTCTATATAAGATGACTATATACTTTATTATGAAAAAAAAAAAATTGTATTTATCTTACTGCTGCTTATATAATAATAAAGAGCATGTAAGCACATGAAAATATAAAAATTTTTGTTATTATTTCAATAAATTACTTTTATAGTCAGTTAAATCCCCTAAAAATAGTTACCATTAGTATATGGTAAACTAAATGTAAAATATGTATTGTTTTAAAGTCAAAGTAAAAATTTTCTTAAGTGAATACCGATAATTAATTTTGTTTAATTAAAATTAGTTTTTTTAAAGGACCGTACTTTGTATGAAAAACGAAAATTAAGGACTAGATATATTGCACGATTAAGAAACATATATGTTAACAACAGCGTCTTTTGGATACAGTCTTAACTTTAAGAGTTAAGTCATTTTATTTAATAATGCCTAAAAGAAATAGATAACGATTCTAATTACTTACCTAAATATTTTGAACAAAAATTGTTAATTCTTTGAGAAGTATAGTGTTAATTTAATAATACTGTATTTAGGTTTAATTTTCCATATACATATTATAAGATCAAAAGATTCATATATTGATTTCATTGTTGTAACTCTCATTAAAAACGAATGTGGTCGTCTAAAAAGACGAGTATCTTCGGCACGATAGTTTAGCAATAGCTCTAGTGTGCTCTAGTGTGTTTACTAAAGCTGCATTTCATATCTTCACAATCTTGCTGCTACTTATATTGCATCGTATGAATATTTCTGAACTTCTGGATTAAAGACCTTCTAAATTGACTTTGGAAGTTATGAGTTATAAAGACGCATCATGTCTCTCCAGGAGCCGTTACGCCTTTTCTTAGCGGCTGATTTTACGTGACGAGTGTCAAACTCTGTGCACAACCCAGATTTAAAGTGTTGGGGGGATAGGACTCGCCGCACGCACTATTAATTCCTTACCTAGCGGGTGCCATATGACTTTCCAGGCGTGTCACGTGAAGGCTGTGCGATTGCGCTGACATTTTCCATGTTAATTACAATCAGACAAGTTGCCTTGTGTATCCGCTTCCAAGGGCTCGCGGCCCTCCCAACATAAACTTACTTAAATATGGCTATTATACTCGTATGTTAAATGAAAGGTTCGTGTACATATCTGCTTTAACATTCATATGAACCACTGAATCGTGCTAAGAGTATTAATTTGAATAGATTAATTTTTTTCTTAAAGCAACAGATTAAAAATTCATATATATGAACTGTTCCATAAATTATAGAGATCACTTCTAAACAAAGGACCTAGAAAAATAAATTTATTTAGCTCATAATGGAATCTTATGGAGTCTTTTTGTTTGATAGATTTCATCAGACTTCAACTATTGGGTGCTTGTGTGTATGAAATATACAATGAAAGAAAATAACTAAGGAAAGATTTGTATATATATTGTCTTACTTACTTTTTTAGCCGTGTCAACAGCGGTTTGACATTTTTATCAAACGGCTGTTTTCATTTCAGTCAGTGAAATTAATCTAGTGTGTCCACTGTATTGCACATGTGTACAATCCCTCTCAAATACAAAAATAGAAAGAAGTGGTGTACATCCAGCCTTAAGGACAGCCAGACTAATTTTCACTAATTTAGGCAAATAGATATTATGTTATATACCCATTAACACGATAAAATAAACATTGAAAAATGAAAAAACAATTCCGTTAACATCATTTTCTAAAGCATTTAAGTCAAATATTGGAAATGGGCTAGTAACAACTGAGTTGACTAGCTTGTAGGTATTTTTATCTTTAAATGTTAATGATTAAAAATAATTACTAATATTAAATTGTTGCAGTTTGACGTACTATAAAAAATTGGTAGTAAGGCTAAAATTAAGAGTAAAAATAGAATTGGCCACAGGTTCGATTAATATCTTGGGTAAAGTTCTCAAGTTATACTCTGAAAGAAAGAATTACTGCTAATGTAGAAAACATTATTATAATAAAAAATATAATAAAAAAAACTAGGTATTACATTTTCGTTGTCTAAAGCAGGACTATTCAAAGCACGGGACGCATGTAGTCCGCAGTTTATATATGTATGTGCGGCCTGCGACAGTATTTTGTGTTTTTATTCCTTTTCAAAAAATCTTTAGACGTATGTACTTGGTTCTGCGTCCGTCCAATCTGCACAATGACTTATATTGGCCCGTGATCGTAACTAGTCTGGAGAGCCACGTTGCCCCGTTGATCTAATTCGATTACGATAAGGAAAAACCACCACATATTTTAGCAAAGAATAAGGTCAGCAAATGCTGAATGATTTTGTAGCCCAAATAACCTACTTACAGAGTAGCATATGTTCCGTTTAAAGTAAAACGATACAGTAAACATCTCAAGGACAGCTGTATTAATTTTATCCAAAATATTGTATAATGCTTTATATATGTATACACAGCAAGTAGAATGACTAAATTTTCTTTGGGAACATAGTATTGTATAAGTTTTAAATATATAAACACTTTATTTTCGTATGATATGTATGCATATAAGTGTTATTTTAAAATAAAATAAAATAGAGTTAAATAAAAAAATATCAGACATTCTAAAACAAATTATATATATATATTACTTAAAGAAAACAGTATTATTGATACATGTATATCAGATAGGATGTAATCAGTCAGAAATAGGTTAAGTTAGGTTTTAAAGACACCTGACACGCACATAACACCTTACACCCGGAGACAACTATTATCCATTGTGATGCCTTTAAAGTTGCCAGTTTGTTAAAACACGTCATTGTTGAAGCATTACCCCGTTAGTACTCCAGTCAGCAAACAAACTCTAGGTCTCATCATATTTAGGCCTTCCTAAGTTGCATTATACACAGTGAAACTGCTTGTTTTTTCAACGACTACCACTAAACACAAAACTCATAGATGATGAGTCTGATGATCGTTATGTACATACCACTGACCATGTAATGGTCTGTTTACAAATATAGTAAGGACTGACTGAGTCCCTTCTTAGTTCTCTCCTCAGCATTCTTTCATTACTTAAATTTCGTCTAAACTTATAAAAAGAATTTAAAAACTATAAATAATACAGTAAAATATTGAGGATGGTTAAAAGTACATTCATGGTATATCGAAAATGATAACATTCATAAAGACCAGTTCTAAAGCAAAATTGATGAGACCCAATTAGTGAAACAGCATGCTCAAAATGGTCTTGTACGCAGTGGCGGAGCTAGACCAACTCTGCACGACGGCGACATCAGAATTGCGAGGCCCCCTTTATAACCTAGTTGTGAAAGTAAACAAGTTACATTCACTAATACGACAAATCATGATTGAAAGTTTTATTGCTAATCAATTTAAAATAAACACAAATTAAAGTAAATGATTTTTTCTACTTTTAGCCTAACTCAATTTTTTTTTAAATTATATCATAATTTGCGCCAGCTGCTATTTTTGCTCCAATTTATAGAATTTCCAATGGAGATAGTCTCTCTTGGATCATCATACTTTTGTATACGTCTTAATCAATTTTAACACATTATGAGCGGCTAGCTCAGGAGACACTTGCCTGCGAGGAATATTATTGGTTAAAATATAGATGGACGGAATTTTTTTTATCTCACTTTACGATCTTTGAGACGTAATCATATATTTGATACAAAATTATTTTTCCCCTTTGTCACTTAAAATTACTTATTTTAAACGGTTACTAATACCTGTCCCGCTTATAAGTGACAATCCTCACAACGGGTACAAATACCTGCCCCGCTCATAATGTGTTAACTTTGAGAATCTTCTTTCCGTCAAAGCTATACTGACTGGAACTGTAAACATGAATCTGGTTACTATATAAACATTCGGGAACACTTCGAATATGGTTAATGCCATTATCAAACAAAATTGTTCAAAATATTTATTAAGTACTTAGAATCCACAGTCGGTAACTTTCTGCGAGGCCCCTATGGGCGCGAGGCCGTCGGCGGTCGCCGACATCGCTGACGCCTAGCGACGCCACTGCTTGTACGCGACAGATATGAGTCTAGTTCTGCAATAGTTTATGCGAATTGTCTTTTCGCAGACAATATATATATCATATAGTATCATATAAATTTACAAATTATCATTATTAACCAATTATCATTAATTTTTAATTTTCAATGCAATTTTTTCTAAAAGATAAATTTGATTTAAACAGCTAATATTTTATTTTTATTTTTTTTATTTTGTTTTATTTATTTTACATAATTTTTATTTATTTAATTTTCATATAATTTTTATTTTAGTTGTTTTTTAATTCTTATTTAGTACTCTTTTTCAGCAATAATCAAATATATTCTTTTAAAATATTTAAACCTTCATAATTTATATTAAAATTAATTTCAAATCAAAACACATTAATATGTAATAGCATATTAGTATTTATGAGAACAAGCAACTATACAAAATGAGAATTATAAATCAGTGCATAAATGATAGGTAACTGCTTATGATATAAGCATTTAGACACAATGTTAAGATCATTGCAAAATGAAACCGCAGTTCGATTTTTTTGTTAACAATGAAGTATGTAGCTTTTAAAAAATGATTTTGATCGTAGATTTCACCGATTTAAAAAAAATCTATTTTGTTTCAATTTAACTTTATTTTGTGTTCTTAGTTAATCTTTGCAATGTATGTATGTACAGATTATGAAATATTTGCATATTATGATTTAAAACCTACAGATTGTTTTAAAATATTCTTATTGTATATATGCTTGCATGTTCATATTTCTTATAGCCATTCATTTGGACATTTAGAATCCTGAGTAATAGTTCTGTTTTATAAATTATAATGGCTATTGATAGATGCTACTAAGTTATAAAATAATCGTTATTTTCAAATTTGATAAAAAACTTAAAATCAAAAAAATAATTTATGTTAAAACTTAAAATAATGTTTAATATTATAGAAACAAATACTTGAAACAGATATTGGAAAATAATATCCTCTATTGATTTACATACGTAGACACTTTTCGGTTTTTTCGATATTCGCCTTCAAGA